TGTGCTGCCCTCACAATTGTGATATTTGAGCTCATTGTTGCAGTCACTGTTTCCAACCATCTCATTGAGGATTTGTTTTGCTGACTCTCTCCTTCATTGAGCATTTTGTCTTTCTCCAGGGACCGGTGTTTTCTGATAACATGTCCTAAGTACATGACCAATTCTTATCACCCTCATTTCTAATGAGAAGCCTGGTTATACTTCTTCCAAAACAGATATGTTCCAACACTGATATATTAAAAGTAGCGCTCTTATAATCACTGATTTATCTGACTTTCTTTCAAGAAACCGCACGAAACCAAACATACTGTCACAGAGTTTGTTATGACTCATAGCAACGGTATAGGGCAGGGTAGAACTGCCTCTGTGAATTTCCAAGTCTGTAACTCTTGATGGGGTTAGAAAGCCTCATCTTTCTCCCGTGGAGCTATTGGGTTTTAAACTGCTGATCTTGTGGTTAGCAGCCCAGTATGTAATCACTACATCAGCCGTGGTCAGTAATGCTTAGTATACACTAAAATACTCCATCTTATTAAGCTAAAGATTTATTCTAAGATTTTTATCTTGTACATATTATTACATGGGGAAAATAAATGAATGCTCATAATAACAAAAACAAGTGAAGTCTTTCATCTGTCAGAAATTAACAAAAATCTTTATACAGTGTCTAGTGGTTCAGTGAAGAAGGAATTATTAGATGTGTGTATGAAAAATGTTGTCACTTTCAGGTCTAAGATACTGAGTGGATAAGTACCAAATTTCTACCCAAACTGTGATATATGTTGAGTGTAGAGGATAATGTTATTCTATTCCTCACTCATAAACTGCTTGATAACTCATTATGTAACCATTCATTCTAACATCTTCTGTCATAGTGAACTCATGATATAGAGTAGCAATAAACCATTAAATTGCTAAATGATTAAATCACTAAATTTTTGTGTACATTTATGTCAACATATCCAAAAGAGCCACCAAATTCTTGGTAAATATCAAATAATGCTGCTTTTTGATATCACATGCTAGATTGCTAGATTCTCATTTTATTTTATGTCTGTTAATTTCAAGTTTTTTAAGGAATGCTATTGAGTAACTAGCGCTATGCATGGGGAAAATACTAGATTGAAATGTGCTAAGAGGTTCATAGTCAAGACACAATACTGTGACAACCTATGTTAGGAGGGAGAACCCAGATAACGGAAATGGTGTGAAATTTGGAGGCAGCTTCTCCTGACCACAATTTACTATTAAAAGGGAAAAATAAAAGGAGAGACTCGAACGTGATGTGAAACATCCACTTAACTTCCTCATAGCGAAGGGACTAGAAATTGGAGGTTACCAAGTGGTCAGTGATATAAAGTAATGGGCTAGGGCATATAGGTGTGAAATTGGGTGAAGTTGAAGATAATAGTGTACAAGAGTCTTATGGGCAAAAAAGGAGTTTGGGAGAGGGTGAGTGATTGGGAAACTTGGTGTGCTATTTAGATAGACTAGAGAAACAAATCCACAGAATCTCATATGTATACAAGAGAGAGTTTTATATAAAAGGTAAGTGTACCTAAAGAAAGCACCACAACCCAACCCCTCCTCATCTCTCACCACTGGTCACCTCCATTCCCCCAGCTTGACTGGGAGAGGTGGAGTGGGAGCATGGCCATCATGATAGACAGGCTTATGAGTCGCAGGACTGGAAAAGTCCCAACAACTGGATCACTGCAAGCCA